GTGTGACATACCCAGTAAATGTAGAGGAGATTTGGGACAAATTTGAAGTGCTCCATCGGATGTTAATGCATGATCCATGTTGAACACATTGATGCGTTATATTGGCGAGCTTTATCGTAACTTTCTTTTCTCTGCATAGGTTATGTTAATGCATTGCCCTAGCGAACTCCATCGCAACTTCTTTAACTTCGTCGAAAAAGGTTTCAAGAGTTATAGAATCAGAGTTACGGTATGCGAAGGTGGCGATGAGACTGATGGCGTGTAAAGTCATGACGAAATCTACAGAGCCTGACAAAATAGTTTACATTTTTGTTGATATTTAAAATTTTAAATACCCTCCATATGATAAATATAACTTGGGTTAATCAGCAAGTTGATAATTCAACTGCTTGAATCCATCACGTTGGTTAATTGTACAAAGACTCATATGAAATTTCTTATGATATATAAAATTAACCGCCGACGCCTCAGAATTTCTTCTATATGAGGGAGAAAAATATGAATTCGTTACAAACTCTTTTCACATTCGTAAAAAAAATATTTGGTGTCAGCATCTGTGACGCATTTTTCATAATTTTTTATTTTAATTATGACGCATTATATTTAATAATTCTAATTATGTGTGTTTGATTCATTCCACTTTTTAAGGTTTCATTTCAGATTATTTGTTAACGCTCTATACAATTTAATTTTTTAAAGTCAGTATAAAAATATTTAAAAGAAATAAATTAGAAATTAGGATTGCGATCTGAAAAAAAGAAACAGTAAGAAAGATGTCCAAAAAGAAACTTTAGTTTCTACTTTCTTCCCGTCTTTAATTAATTTCTCGGAGTTTTAATATATATATATATTATATTTGGTTTGAAAAGAAAATATTAAAATTCGAACATATTTATATAAAAATAGAGAATATTTTTAGTTGTAAATCTTTTATATTGTCATAAAATATTAAATAAAAATAATAATATTCTCAATAATTTTGAAAGTAAAATAATAAATTTTGAAGATATTTAATTGAAACGTTGAGATTCATGATGGTAATTTAAAATTCATGAAAATAATTAATATTTTAAATATATTATTTTATCCTTTCTGATAATTTGAAAAAATCAGGTTGAAAATACGTTAGCATATTACACAAATATATTCATTGGACAAATGGGCTATTTGGTTTGAAGTTAAAAGAGTTCAAGCCATTCCAAATGGAAGGATTTTTAAAATATAGGTATTTGATTTGAAGTAAAATAATAATAATAATAATAAATTTTAAAGCATTTAAAATGCTCTATCTAATTAAATTTTGTTGTATTTAAAAATCGTTAGATCTAACTAGTTCTCAAATACACTACAAATTCTCTGGTATATTGTCACAAGTCATTACCAACTATCATATATGTCGCCGCCACCAACAACTGGATGCTCGTCGCCAATTACTTGCTGGCGGCCACCAACCACCAGCCACCGGCCACCACTGTATATCATTTGATACGATCAAAATAGTCTATATGATGATTTTAATGTTTTCAATTGTAGTTATGATTATTATTTTATGGTTGGAAATATATAGTTAAAATATGAAATAAATATAAACATTTCATAGAAATAATAATACATATTAAATTAATGGAAAATTAACAGGAGAAATCTAATGAAATTTTAGGCATCAGTAATGAGCTTTAGTAAAATTTGATAAATAATATATGGCTTTTAAGCAAAATAAATTCTTTTAGACAAAATTAATGTAATATTTGCATATAGGAAAGAGATGATTTATTTATTTTGTAAGATGCGAGGAGTTGCTTGATTTTTTTTTTCGAGAGAGAAAATATGCGGTTTTATGAATTTTTAAGATTTATCAAGTGATGAAATTTAAATATTTTTAATGAGATAAATTTGAAATAGATAGATCATACATTGAGAAATATATACTATACACATATTAATCTTTAAAATAAATTCTCTAATTTTTTAAAATTATTTTGATATATAATATATATCATATTTTGGATATATATATTTTGAGATTAAAATAGATGGTTGTTTATTAAAAAAATCAAAAATAATTTATAACATTAATGAATTTAATTTAAAAATTATATATAATATATTTAACCCTCAAGTAATGATCTGGCCTATTCCAAGTTTAATCCTCACCCTGAGAGAACACAAATTCCCTGCCACCAGACCAACACGCCCGCGCATCCATAAAGCGCCCCCTCCCACCTCTCCAAAAAGTTTCAAAGCACCGCTTCATCCTTCCACCTCTCTCTCTCTCTCTGTCTCTCTCTCAGAATTCCAGTCGTATCTCAGCAGGAAAAGCCCAATCCATTGGCCTGCGGCGATGACAAACCCCGCCACTCAGATGCCGCCGGGCTTCCGGTTTCATCCCACCGACGAGGAGCTCATCCTGCACTATCTCAGAAACCGAGCCCTTGCGTCTCCCTTGCCCGTTTCCATTATCGCTGAGGTCGATATATACAAGTTCGATCCATGGGACCTTCCTGGTTAGTTCTCACGATGCAAATAGTTCCTCAAAAACTTTTTCTTTGATTCAGCCGGAGTGTTGCTCACAACTTGTTCGTTGAATTGCTTCTGTGCAGCGAAGGCGGTGTTCGGGGAGCGAGAGTGGTACTTTTTCAGTCCGAGGGATCGGAAGTACCCAAACGGAGTCCGGCCGAACCGTGCGGCGGCGTCTGGGTATTGGAAGGCAACTGGAACCGATAAGCCTATAATCTCAAGGAATGAGAATATTGGAGTGAAGAAGGCGCTTGTGTTTTACACGGGGAGGCCGCCTAAGGGGCTCAAAACTGATTGGATCATGCACGAGTATAGACTGGCTGACTCACCGAACAACAAAAGTTATAAGCCTATCAGACTGGGAGACCATTCCATGAGGGTAAGTTTCTAATCTTTATTTATTATCTCTTATTCTAATTAAATGTTTTTGCATAAGGACTAGCTATTATTTTTTGAAAAATATGTTTATGGATGTTATGAAATTTTGTTTCTGATCCGTATGGCAGTTCCTGTTCAATGAACGGAGCCGAGCATGTGCTTGTTCATGTTTATGTTTGTTTATTATCAGCTTGTTCATGTTAATTCAAGGTTGATTCAAGCTTTCTTGTTTGTGTTCAAGCTTTGTTCGTTTAAGTTGATGGATGTTCATGTTTGGTTTGTGTTTGATTCATGTTCGATTCATTTCGTGCTTATCGAGCTTTAAACAAATATGTTCAAAAATGAGTTCTATCGAGCCTACTAACAAACATGTTTGTGAATATTTTTAGCGATTGTTTCGAACTACGTACCAAACGAGCATATTCACGAACATATAGAGTGTTTTTGAGCTACCAAATGAGCCTATTCACAAACATATCTAGTAAAGGTTTTTGAACTATCAAATAAGTTTGTACACAACACATCTAGTAAGTGTTTTTGAATTACCAAATGAGCTTGTTCGCAAACAAACAAGCTATAATTCTTCTTAGAAGAAAGCTTGCTC